ACCATTTCTGAAATGACAAAAAAAGTGTCAGAATCTCGGAATTTTCTACAATCACGCCAAGTTCCTAATCATATCTGAGAGTCCTTTTGTGATCTTGAAAACTAGATAAATAACATCTATTTTTGCAGCAGAAATGTACAAACAAAAATTACCGACTTTATGAAGTAGGTTTCAAATTGAATTTTGTTTATCTTTTTGTTTTCTTTTTAGTTATACCGACTAACTTCTACTAATCTATGTAAAAATAACGAAATAAAATGCACCACGTGTATTTGTATTATTATTCGCTTATAGCGAACTCCGCAGATAACGAACCAGTTTTAGTTCATTTTTCAAATTCGTTATATCCGGACTCAACTGTAGTACGGAAGGATTAAGTAGAACTCTCGGAAGTGTGATTGTTTGTCGCTTTCAAATTGTTTTAAAACTGCAATTTATTATACTAGTATTTTTGTAATTACAATAACTGATAAGGGGATAAATGAAAAAACTTCATAGGTACTGGTGTCCGAAATAATGTGTGTAAAATCCCCCGAGTATGAAACACACGCGAAACGTATGCTATAAGTTTATGCATACCACTTTTTTTGGTGATATCGGCTTCCAAAGTGTTTTAGTAGAATGATGACTCATTGACTAGTTCATGGCCCAGTCGCGTTTCAGGATAAAAATATTCTTACCTTTTCCACCACTTTTCATCAATTCTCACTGAAATTTACATCTTTTTCATGAGAAAAGTTTCCTATCACATCGACGCCACGGCGACGCAGTTCAAAATAATTTCTCGTGTTGCCAAATCTATGTTTTGAAACTGTTGAGTTTTTATGTCGTCGTGAAATGGAATTTCTTCCAGAAGGTTCCCAATCACAAATGGCTTACATCTTGAGAGTTGTTTTGCTCGCTTACACTGAACTTTCAGTGAACACTCAGTTCAGTTCAATATAAGGTTTCGAGCCAAACACCTATGAAGATACAAACCAGTTGTGCTTGCATGTTGATTCAGTATCATAATTTAATTTGAGGAACTGAATTGGAAAAGGCTGGTAAAGTATATGAAGCCATCCAATATTATCGTAAGGCTGTACAACTTGATCCAGACATTGAACATAAGATTGATTACAGACCTAGATATCCTTTAAAAGATCCAGAGACTGAAAATTCTGAAGGTAAACCATATTTAAATATTTATCAGTTTGTTCACTCATCTACATATGTTATCAATAGGAAATGTAGTGACTGACGAAAGTGATAGCTCTGAGGATTCTGAAGTAATCGAAGAGGCGCAACTTTTGCAAAGGATTCAAAAGAAGCTATCCAAAGTTGGACATTTCTGTATACCAAAATTCACACAATCTGTAAGATGAATGCATTTATGTAAGCCAATCCAGAATGATGCCATCCTTGATTTCAGACCACTCATATATCGTCGTTGCCCATAGAATTACTATTGTACATTTTAAAATGGGTTGTTTCTACCGACTTGGACTTGCGATCTCTTGAATTATTCGGATCAGTTTGTCGAGGATTTTATTTATGTTCGCGCGATTCTGAAATATGGAGGCTCGCTTGTCTAAGGTTAGTTTTGAACATTGAGGATATGAATATGCAGTCCTTTTGACGATTGGTTCCACCTTTCTTAGAATATGGGGTTTAAATTGCAATCTAACACCTGGCGAATACGGCTCGTGGCGAAATATGTTTATCGACCGACCTAGGCTGAATTTCAACGGTGTCTATATTAGCAAAACCACTTACATTAGGCACGGCGAGAACAGTTTTCAAGATCAGTTTTATCGACCTTGGCATTTAGTGTCCTATTTCCGATATTTAAGGTGAGTGAAAAGTTAATTTCGATATGAAAGAGTTCACTTTTGATGTCAAAATCTTGCACTTCGATGAAGGCTTTCGTGCGAAACATCTCTGAGGATGCAAGCCAGTCGTGCTTACAAAACGTCGGGCAGAAAGCCCGGTCTTGAAGGTGTCTGAAATTAGCACTCGATCTCGATATCTGTACATTATGTATCAGAAACTAGTTTAAATTTGGGCTGATTTGTCTCCAATTTTCACATTTCGCATTTCGATCTGAAACATTCAATAAAAAATATAACCATTAGCAGCTTGAACGATGAAAGTACTTTACAATAAAGACAAGTTTCATCAAATTTCAATATTTGGAAAAATAACTTTATTTTAAGAGGAAGTTCAAAAAAATAAATAAACTCTAATATGTGTTTAGTTAGTTTTCTTTATAGTGTATTTGGAACGTTCCACAACAATAAATGTTGAGTTAAAAATGATGCTAAAATGACTGTAGTTAGTAGATAAGCGGCATAATTTTCCTCTTCAAACAGTGCAGTCAAACTACATTTATCTGCTCTAGAATAAGAATCAGTTGAAAAATATTACCAATTGTTTCCACATCGTTGAAATATGTAGCTTTTATTGGATTTACCGAGTGATTTTTAATATTATAGTATAAAAAATGACTGGTTTACCCCATTTGTTATAACGAATACTTAGTGTCTGTTTTAGTCAGATATTCGTACCAATATTACTATTTCTGTTAAAAAAGCGGAATTATTAAAAGCATAGTAAGAACATCATATTAGCAAATCAGACAGTCTTTCATTGGTAGCAGTTTTAAACTTCACTTATATGTTTTTAAAGTATTTTAATTTGTAAAATATTCTTTCGTCGAACGATAAATAGAAATGAGCAACAATTTGTATTGAAGAACAACGCAGAATGGTGCAATATTATTTTAGTTTTTATTAATAGGATCGTCAGAATGTATTTTATTTTATTTTTTTACCTTCGCATTTAAAACAAATATTTTTTGTTAATTCAATTTTCCGGAACTTGAAATACTTTTCTAACTGCCAATTTTTTGGGAACTTTGCATTTAGGTTTTTTCCTGAAGGAATGGTGTTAATGTTAACTTCGTCGGATGACCCTGCACTGTGCGTTAATCAACTGAAAACGCGTAATGCTAGAGCACCTGTTATGGTTGGATATTATAGACTGAAGGAAGATAAAGTAACCATCATACTATGCAATTTTTACTTTTTAGTTATTCATTTTATCAAATTTTTCTGTAGGTTACTATAGTCGTTCAAAGGCAAGAAACGACAAAGACTGTGCAAAGTGGTTTTAAAAAGGGCGGCAGAAGACGGGAAATAGACAATTCAGAACAAACATTTCACATCGTAAGTTTTAATTCTTTTCTCCAGGTTAAATAATTTTTATCTGCATATTTATGCGTGTTTGTTTTCAGGAGTTAAATATTCAAAACCACAAAAATCGCCGTCATGTTAAGTTAGTTTGGTCTTACTATTCGGTCTTAACACGATCAAAACAGGGACACGAAAGCACCAGCAATGTCGACCTAATTGGGAATCGTTTTACAAATTTATGGTTTTCACGAGTGAAGAGTTTTACGTCAGAGTCCGACCAACCCCTAAATTGATCTATTTTTCTATGTATTTTTGATGTAGATAGATAGATTGACATATTTTACTATATTAACACTATTTGGCTTCATAATAGGAAACCTGTTGTAAATCTTTTTTGTCTAATTATAAGCCGATTTAAATTTTAAAAGTTTTTTTATGCTCCAAACTTAATTGCTGGTTATAAGAGGCTTAAATAACATATTTGCAGTTTTTGTGTCTTAGAAATTTCACAAGAAAGACCTTATTGTTTAAGCGTGGTAGCGCCAGATTTTTAGTTCCGTATGAGCAAGCTGATTATAATCGAAGAAATCCTGCAATAATCTTTGAATAGGTAAGTGTCTTTACACACCAATGTTGCTATCCGCGCGTAATTGTTAAATTACTTTCTTGGCAAATATAAATATCTGAAACGAAAATTTATGACCGTGGTTCGGGGTGAAATCGGACGATTTTTTTCAGTTTTTTTAATAAAAAGTATAATTTTGAAAAAAAAAAATTCCCTTAAATAGTTTAAAGTCCTCCGTGGCTCCTTCTAGTATCTTCGAGTGTCCTAGCGACGTTTTCTTCATTGTAGTTCTTAAAATTAATGCTGCAATAATGCATGGTGTCCGCCTGCACTTCTATAAAATGACTTTTTTTACTTTTTTTTTACTTTAAAAACATTTTCTAATGAAATTGTCAGGGGTTTAATAATAATAGAGCACATCAGAAAAAATAAATCATTTGAAATTTAAATTTTTAGTATTGTCTTGTGTGCAACTGTGTCTTTTATAGTTTTCAAATTCCAGGAAAAAAAATTCATAAAATTCTCACCCCGTGTTCCACGGCGAATTTATCCAGGGAATATTTATACTACTAGTGACTGTAGGAACTTAACTGACGGGAATAAGAGGGTTGGGTACTTTTTACGCGGTGCATCCAATGATCTTGACGAAAATGTTGACCAATAACGGTCTGTCCGAGTTCGCCACAGAGTCCGACTTCACCCCGAATGACCGGTACATTTGCATTTTATCCTTATGAAAATCAGCAGTAGGAATTTTAAGCTACAATATAGGAAACATTTAAAATTACACATATAACGGCTAAATTGGAGTATAATACACTAAAAAAATACTCGGCCACTACAAGAATGTAATTGTGCAAAATAGTTTATTTAATATATTTTTTTGTTTTAATAGTCGAGATCTTATATGATGCTCATAACAGGTCGAGAACATTACATATAAATTCGTATGACAGAATCAATTAAAAAAAGTTTTTAGTTTGTTGATTGTGATCCTCTAGTTGTTTTAAGGCACTTTTTTATCAAAAATTAATATTCAATTTGAAGCAATTAAAGTCTCTTCAATTTACCATTTACGATATGTAAATATATTTATAACGAGTAATCAATAAAATTTGTAAAGGTTCAAATATCTTAAAGCCTACTTGAATGTAAATGTGTTACTAACAAATCTAACAATAATGGTGTTGCTCTCTACTATGATTAACCTACTATAAATAGCTGCGGCTTCAATAAATCTAGCTAGAGTCCTATATTTGAGTAATTAGCAACAATTAACTGGTCAGCTATATAAATTAAAAAATTAACACTAGCGTATAACGGCAGGGAGGCGTAATCACTCTAAAACTTTAAGCTTTGTACCACCATAAATTGTAGTTTGTCATATCACTTCTAACATCATTAAAGCTAAATTGGTGGAAGTACGAAAGGAGTCTACCCGATTTTTGGAGACGACGTTTAAATATAATAATTTAAAAATCAGATTCTGTTTTCACAATTTTTTAGTTAAGTTTAGTATTTTTTAAGATGTCATAAATTTCATAAAACTCAACAAACACTATTAGAAAATCATTTTGAGATGCTGATTTTTTAAATATTCGTTGAAAGAAAGATTACAGGAAATACTTGATCAGTGTCTTTAACGTCAGCATCTTCAGCTTTGAAGCAGTTCAAAGATTCTTTTCCTTACAAATTACTTGATAACTGTTATGTCGTTCGAAATTTGATTATTTTATAGCATTTTACATTTCATAATTGAAAATTTAAAAATGTTTTGCTTAAAATTTCGAATTTCTTTGTTTCAATGGTACGTTTGAATTTCATAAATCTATTTTATTTTAGTATTTATGAACTTTAACGCCGTGCGCGGTTAAACATTTTTTGTTATCCTCGTGGTTAAATGCCTATACGTACAAATTATGTTTTAATAGCAAAAGACACTGAACTTGTTTTACCATCATCAACCCTTGGAAGTTTACCATTTCTAAATAGAACCTATTTGCGTGCTTTACATAGCTGTAAAATAGCGCTATTTGGAATTTAGTTTAAACCGATCGGCACTAATCCTTACATGATTAGTTTTTTTCGGCGAAGCAAAATGTATTAATACCGTAGAACTACTTTAAATCTGGAAAACAATGGCATAATTGTAACATTTGGATCAATAACAGTTATTCTTAGCCATCCAGTGTAAATCTAGGGCTGTGGCTCGATGCATGCTCCACACTGCAGCAACGACTAATACGTGCATAATGTTGTGCGAATTCAGCACGAAGTCCACTTGTCCTGGAAACCATTTCTCAGGAACGTGAATCGCTCCGATGCAACCGCCAACAATCGACACTGCATCCTGAAAGGGATTCCGTGCATTTCCGTATTTAATTTTTATAGCCGAGATTACCTGTAAAATCACGTGCAGGAACGCAGCTGGATCACCACCGCCAATTTTTGTCAATCTCAAACACCATAATCCGATTCTAGTCAGGAATGGAAGCAGAAAACAGAGCCGTCTGTCCCATGGAGACCACGCTATCATTGCCTGGAAAATGCGTGTTTAGCTGTTTGAAAAACATCTTTAGAAAATCAATTTGGATTTAACGAAGTAATTTGTATCAAGAACAGAAGCTATACGGAATTGTACAAACAGCTGAAGTGGTTGCTGTTTTGAATATACAGGGTTATTCACGCTATACGGCACGGAAGTTTGCGGCTAAACCGTTTGATTTTTAAAAAGTATTATTTTATGAATTGTCCGACGCCT